CTCATTGCAGGCATGTGGCCATCCGGGAGGGTCTGCAGCAGAGATGTGGTTCAAGGAGGAGCACAGAATAGGGGCGCTCAAGGGAGGACTCTGTGGGCTCCCAAACTTCCCGGTTGGGTCTCGTATAACTATTTTATAATGTGTCATATTCCTTATGTATTTTTCAAAACGAGATTCTTATTGAACAAGAAGCGGGAATCTCTTCTGAGATCCGGTTTCAGAAAGATCCTGGCTTAATAACTATGGATTAATTTCTCAGTCTGGGCTTAGTTTTCCTTGTATTTTTCCTTATCTTTGCTCAGATGTTCTAGGGCTAGGGGTGTAGCTCAGTGGTAGAGAGTCTGCCTGGCATGCATGAGGCTCTGGGTTTAATCCCCAGGACCACCTTTCTCCACTTAAAAAAAAAAAAAAGTTCCAAAAAAAGTTCCTTTCTGTTGCTCAAGACCTGAGTTTCTTTCTGTTACAATTATAACTAAAAAAAAAAAAAAAACACTGCACATGAGTTGACCCTTGATGTTGGTCCGCTTTCAACCTGGAGAGACTCTCCTAAGCCAGAGCAAGAGAGTCTTTCCACACCTGACTTGGCTCATGCTATGTCCCCATGGCCTGCAGGGACAGCTTGACCTGGGCACCAGATGTGCCTACGCTTCATAGCTGTGGAGGAATGATTAGACAAATCAACTACAGTATGTATCATCTTAGCAGAAATCATCACCCTGGGGAAAGCAGCCTGGGTTAGAAAATGGCTCTATGGTGCGGGTGTGGCCAAGTTAAGGAAGCAGAGTGGTCCATACCTGGTAGTCTGAAAAGGAAAGGAAAGGAAAATATCAGGAAAAGGCCTGGAAAAATGTGGAGCCATTCCCAGAGAGACTGTCTTCTACTACAATTCCTAAAATAGTCCCCAGGAACCATGTCGTTTCCCTGCTCCCAGTCTGCGCCCATGCTGTACCGCAGGCTTCCAAGAAGCCAGAAAATGCCAACCCCAGCTTTAGGAATCAGGTAAAGCCTCCTTCTTTTCTCTTTCCTTGCCATATGCATTTTGAGGGCAAGGGCTGTGTCTCCCTTATGGCTGCATCTCCAGGAAGCGAACAGAGTGCTCAACACCCAGAAGGAAATTCGAGGATTCCCCTTAGCTGGATTTCAGTGGAGATCCTCTAGATTTTAGCACTTGCTCTGCTGGCTCACAGAAGAGAGCTGTGATCCTACTGGAGGGGGAAACCCAAAGGCAGGCAGTGCCTGGAGACAGGGCACAGTCTCAAGTGAACCTTGACCAGCTGGGAAGAGGCTGCCCTGTCAGCCTGGCCAGGAGAGCCTCACCTCGCACTCCCCCGCTGACATCTCCGTAGCTGTTATACTGAGCAAAGTCTGTGGAAACAGGCTGGAACGAGGGGGAAAAACCATCATTAGAAAAACTTCACAGTGATCACTTTGGAGGTAGAAAGAAAGACAGGATTTACAAAATCCTAAGAACCTTTCCCAGGCTCATTTCCTGGACCCTCATTAATTTTCCCTCCTATTTATTTCTTTGCAACTGTAAAATCTTTGCTGTGGTACTTCTATTGCCACTGATCACAGGCCCCTGGTAAGCAAATATCTCTTAAATACATTTCCCTGTGTAGTTACAGAATTACTATTGTTCTCTGGCGTGTGAGGAGGACAATTTCAAGAAACTTTCTGTTCATAGCAGAAATAACAACTCAAAGCCAAGTAGAGGGTGGCCCAGGCCAATAATTCCAGTGGCTCAGGAAGCTGAGACAGGAGGATCTCGAATTCAAAGCCAGCCTCGGCAATTTAATGAGGCCCTGTCTCAAAGTAAAAATAAAAAGGGCTAGGGATGTGGTTAAGCAACCTTGGGTTCAACCCCTAGTTAAAAAAAAAAAGACTCAATTACTTCTTGCTGCACTGTAACAATATCTGCCACACTAATCTAGTCTCAAGTTTCCATAGGCCATTCATTTATTTATTTGTTCTTCTCAAAAGAAATATTTTCACTTTGCCTTTTTCACTTTTTGTGATTTACAAGGTGACCAGGGAGGTTACAGTTTTCATTATGATCCAACATTCAGGTCAAGAGTCCGATGTAGGGCTGGGGCTCAGTGGTAGAGTGCTTGCCTAGCACATGTGAGGCCCTGGGTTCAATCCTCAGCACCACATAAAAATAAATAAATAAAAGTATTGTATCCAATTATAACTTTAAAAAAGGGTCAGATGTAGTCGGACAACAAGCCTGAACTTCAGCTAGGACTGAAGAGGGAATGCACAAAGAAATAACCAATAGAAGAGAAATCTTACCCGGTGAAGCCCATTTTTTCCATAGCCAGGAAGAGATGAGGTTTTAGATGACGGAGCGTAGGAAGCTGAGTGAGAAAAAGGTCAAAAGGCCATTGTTAGGAAAGCAGAAATCTAGTTCTTTAATGACCTTGATAGTGTATCGCTTGCTTTGCAGAAGAGGAGATTTAGCAAAAACAATTCGAATGATATTGGGCTCAAATGATCACAAAATGCCACCATATTTGAGGGCCCAGGGAATAGTATCATAACAGTGACACTATTATGGAAGGGCAGGGAAAGAAAGCCGCAGGACCAAGGGAGCTGCGCTTCCTAAAATTCTGGGCCCCATCTAAGTGCTTAACTGAATTTATCTCCTTGTATCCTTAGTACCCTAATAATATGATTATTATTTCCATTTTACAAAAGAAGAAATAGGAGTTAAGAGAAGTATCCTGCCAACGGTCACTCAACTCATGACAGCTGAACAAGGATTCAAACCCAGGGATGACCGAACACATGGGCCCCCTGTCCCAGTGACATGGCAGCAGTAACTGGCCTGGAAACCAACCAGTTGAAGTTCTACTGGCTGAGCACAGCTGGGCTCCTGGGAGGCCTGGCCTAGGCCTGGTCTAGGTCTATCCCATTAGTTAAGGGCACGGAAGGCAAATAGGCTGCTCAGTTTGATTTCTGGTTCTGCAGCTTAACACGTCCACATCTTTGAATGTGTCATTACATTTTTTTGAGCTCTTCATTTTTTGATCTATGGAGATATGGTATTATGGATTCATATAGAACGGAATCTCAGAATTAGAAGGAGCTCTGGAGATCACCATAAGTGGTCCTGCCTCTTGCACAACTGGCCAGGCAGGCTATGGCTCTCAGCTCATGCTAGGAAGGGTCTGCCACTCACCTGAGTGGATAGGAGAATCATAGCGGCTGGCTAACAAGGATGCTCTCTCCCGGCTCTCCTTCTCCATCTCTTCCTTCAGTATCAACTGCCCTAGGCCTGAATTAAGCTATGCACAATAAAAAAAAGAAAAAAGAAAAAAGAAAAAGGAAAAGGAAAGCAAAGTCTGCGATTACTTTCATGGAACTAGTTTCTTTCCAGAAGGTCTTGCAAGAAGTTCCTGACCCTAGGGGGCCTGGTTGCAGGTAGGTCCAGTACCTGGTAATTCCTCGAAAAGCAGGACAGGTTCTGGATTCTGAACCCCTCTTAGTCTTTCCAATGTCAGGGGAATGTCCCTGTGCCAGGTTCTGTCAGAAAGCTGCCTCCTTCTTTTGCCCTCCCCAATGTGTCAGTGGGTGACCTCAGCAGGCGTAGGTGAGTGTGTGATGGACTTTTGATGTGGGAAGGGGAAACTGGGAATGAATCCTTAAAAAAACTGCATTGATTCAAAATCAAAACAAAAAATAAGTATGTGTTCATTGTACATATTTTGAAAAATCTGGAAGAATGAACCTATAATCTGCTACTCAGAGGTGACACCATTTCTAACTTCTATTTACCCTAATCTATTATTTTTCTATACATGTTTTATATAAAACTAAGATTATACTCTGTGTTCTTTCCCCCATATAATTAATGTGCGTTTCTCATCTCTTTGGAAAACATCATTTCAAGGGATGCATTATTGGTGGGAGAGTTTATAATCAGACATCCTTCTGGTTTGCAGCAGGCCCTTGCTAAAGGAAGGAGGGCAGTGGACACCTTTTGGTGACTGTCCCCTTGATTCCTTTTCTCCTGGTCTAGATATGCATAAGATCCTCCGAGTTCTGAGGGGCGATTTGGAGAAATATTCAATCCTAAGGGAATTCTTCCAGAAGAGCCTGCAGGCCCCAGATGTACATCACCTCCACCTACCCGGCCCTCCTGCACCCTCTCTGCACATACACCACATGCCCACTCACACAGTCACACTCTCCAACCATTCCACATCCCTCTGACCTCCAGCCTCAATGTCATCACCTCTAAAGGCAAGTGCAAAGTCCTTATTAAAGTTCATGCTTGTCATGTCTCGCTGGACTGTAAGCCTCAAGGGGCTGGGACCACCTCTTGCCTGTCTTAGTGGCTTGTACAGAGTAGTGATGTAAAAAGTTATAGATTTTATTGAATTAGAATTGAAGACAGCTACAAGGTAGTTTAAGGACAAACCTTCATTAACTGCTCTTCTTGAAGCTGCCGGCGTCTCAGGAGTTCCTCCTCATCTTCCTCTCTGCCACTAGATCTGCGTCTCATGTCAGTTCCTAATTCCACAGCAAAGACAACTTCTCACATCAGCCCCATGACAAGGGAATCTTAACGGACTAGTCCATCTGTGTTCAATTTGTAGGCTGGCAAGCTCTGCAGTGGTTGGTCCTTCACAAGTCGAAGTGAACCAGACAGGGGGGAAAGGTACCCACCACCAATCCAGCTCACCCAGGTGGCTTCTCTACGAAGGTGGGCCCCTTTGGCAAGCTGGATCAATGTACTAGTGACTCCCTGTAATTCTCTGCTCAATTAGAACTGGTTTGCCACCTCCCTGAGCCTATCATCAGATTAACCATGGGTCAGGGCTCCTTATAGTGAATGGGAGGGGCATCCCCAGCTAATGTCCCTGAGGTCAATTTTTTCAAATAGAGAGGAATCTGAATTTATCCATATACCAACAAATCTATAAGATGGTTTCTGTCTTGTGACAAGTTTAAAAATCTTGTGTTTTTCTCTTTCTCTGAAGATTTAGACTTTTCAGAATACTATCATTGCCGCCTACACTTAGTAAATCAATTAAAAAGCATATTTGTTTATGTCTTTTAAGGAATGGATTTCCAACTTTCTTTTTTATATATATATACTTTTAAAAATGACTATAAAAGAATTTTCTACCGGGCTAGGGTTGTGGCTCAATGGTAGCGCGCTCGCCTAGCACGTGTGGGACTTTGGGTTCGATTCTCAGCACCACATAAAAATGGGTAGACAAAATAAAGGAATTATGTCCAACTACAACGAAAAAATAAATATATTTTTAAAAAAAGAATTCTGTACCATCAGTTATGTAAAAACAGTATTAATAAAGCTAAAAATTGCTGCGTGTATTTTTTTAAATTGCAAACGGTTTTTACATTTCTTGGAATAAGGGGAGACAGGGAATGGAAAGGAGGAATCTGTCTGAATGATTGGAAGATGAAGATAATTGTTGTTTTCCCTAAATTCCTTGGATTAATCTGGCTGTGGGAGGAAACAGGAAAGTTTGCTAATCTAATAAAAATAAACTTCAACTAATAATCTCAGTTTTCATCATTCTGATTAATGGACCAGACATTTTCCTCATCTTGGAACCCAAAGGAACTTTAAACTATGTAGTGATGATAGTTTCAACAATAAAAATTGAATTCTCCTTTTCCGCCAAAAGCTTAGCTGCTTCCAAGTCCCTGCTCAGCAATACAACTGTGGGGACACAAGGCCCCCACAGACTTCCAAAAGGCACAGATTGACACATTCTTAGTTCTTAAAATCATAAATGTCAATGTCAATTTTCTCTCTTTAGTGTATTCTAATAAAAACTAAGAGATCCAACCTTGTAAGAATTAAATAAATCTCATTAACATAATCATAGAATACTTATGAATGATAAATTAAGTAGATTTTCCCTTCAACTATTTCTATAAATATTAGTTGTTTTAAAATCACTTTATTGCCTATAAAAATCATTCCTCAATTAACTTGATAAAAATAACCTGATGCAGAAGATTAGGAAATTTTGGAAAATTGAAGGCCTTTCAGGTTGTCAAAAGAAATGGGATAAGCTATAGTCATGCCTTTGTAAGGCTGACTCACTGGATTTTCAGTATTTGCTTCTGTGCTTGTTAATATCCCTTTCAGGGCTGAGTGATTTCACTATGACAAAACAGTAAACACACAGACACAATTGGAAAGCATAAAGAAAAGGATGAAACAACTCCAAAATGACATTTTAGCACAGGATCATGGAGATGACAGATGTAAAGTTACATCCCCTCACTTGCTATTTCGGAAAATCTTCTACTCTGTAATAGCTCTCCTTAGCAATGGAGAACATGATCTTGCAGGAACGTTAAAGTGCTTCGGTGTTAAGGTTGCTGGTTAAGAGAACTATAACTATAATCCAGATATAGTCTAAAACAAATGTAACTAAAAGAAGTCATGCTCCCATGGACCCTCAGCAAACCCACCCACTAGACTCTAATTATATAGAACAATGCTTTTGCCATGAAGCTCTGACTCAACTGTGCTTGAAACAGTTGATTTTACAGTGATAACTCCGAGAGTCTGTGCAAACCATCTGTTTTAGACCAGTTCTGGATCTCAGTGGGTTTGGTTAGAGCCATGCTCTGGTTGATGTGTTTCTGTAACTGAAGCAACTTACACACAAACTAATGCCATGTTAGGTCTTTTCACTATTCTGCCTCTTGGCTGTTCTTTTCTTAAAGTCTTTAAGTTTGGACACATGTTCTTGTACCTTTCCAAGCATCTCATGGTTAGCTCCCCTCGCAATTTGTCCATTTGACTTAGCTGCATCAGTTGCATACCTACGGCGGCAAGTGAGGGGGGACCAGGCCAGTGGTCCGTCTCAATCTTTGGTATCTCGCTGGGGTCTGGTGCCTGGGCTGCTGGGAACTTGGAAAACTTGATGATATCTTCTGAGGACTTGCTCTGGGCTGCCAAAGCAGCTGCATCTGGATGGGAACCAGGGTTGCTTAGCTATTGGTGTGTAAGGCAGGGGTGGTTCAACCCCACAGACACAGTTTTCTCATTATCAGAAAAAAGTTTCAATTCCAGAAAGTTCTATCACCATGACAATTCAACTCATTTCCCTTACTTTATGTTAAAAGCAACGTTTTATTCTATGTCTGTCCTACATCCAAAAATTCTTGTTCTAGAGCTATGCTGTCCAGTGCTAGCTCTATTTAAATCTAAATGAATAAAATTAGGCAAAACCAAAAAACTAACAAACTTAAAATTCAGTTCCTTGGTAGAACCAGTTGTATTTCAGGTACTCAGTAGTCACATGTGATTAGTGGCTACTGCACAGGACAGCACAGATACAGAATGCTTCTACCATCATAGAAAGTTCACTCCTAGTATTCTCCAAGAGTAAATAATTATTTTTGGAATTAGAAAATTGAATTATTGGAAATTTGAGTTAAAAAATTGAAGTTAAAGAGTTAAAAGCATGACAATAGCATTTTACTGTCGTCACTCATCTTTAGAGGGATGGTAGCTTTGGCCAGAAACCAAAAATATATTGGTCCATTTCATTTTAATCCTTATATGCTACATATGGGTCCTTGTATCTTGGGAGAAATGGAAATGGAGAAATCTACTTCCAGCTTGCAGGAATTTAGCATTGTGATTTATGCATGCCATCCCCACTCACTGTTTTGCTCGAGGGTCTGTATATACAAGTGAGTGAACCAACAAAAGCCAAACTACCAGTGACATTAGCTCAGAGTCCTTAGTGGCTGTGTTTGGAGGAGGATTCACAGGCTGAAAGCACTGAATCTGCCCTGAGTTGGAGCAAAACAAACCAGGTGAAATGGTTGGTCCTGATTCTGGCTAATTTTGCAAACTGGTCTGGGATGTTACTAAACATTTCAAGACACAATTATAATAGTTTTTCCCCTCCTGGGTTCATATATTTTAAAATCTGGAAATAACCTTTTGATCTTCAGCTCCAATATCTGCTTCCTTCCACTAACCTTCTGGGTCTCAATTTGCTTACATGATTTGACCAAGGTCACCCAATAATAAGGGGTAGATCTTGGCAGGACATGGAGCAGTGTTTCTCAGGAATCTCTAACCTCAGGAGAAAAAAAGAAAATACTTCTGCATAGAAAACACTACATGCTCAACGCTTCCTGTAGACACACAAAACACATTAGCAAAGGAAAGACCTAAGTTCTGCATCACACAAAAAGAGTGTGTGACGTAATTTAGATCCAGCCTTTCCCCAAAACATCAGGGCACAGATTGCAGTTTGGGGTATGACATCTATTCCTTTGGCACTGAAATCTGGCTGTCCTTTCTTTGACAAGTGCCACTGTGGCCATACTACTATTAATTACAATAGACTGAAAGCAAAGACTTTCAAGTCAGTATTGAAGGAAGTCAATCGATCCCTTCCAAATAAAGGCTCACATTATACAATCTCCTTAAATCCTAACTATTTTTGTTCCAAGAGACAGAGTCTAAATATTTTAATAATTTTTTAAAAAAGTCTCAACTGATAATTCAAACTCTGGGAATCTTATTCTTAAATTAAAACAAAAAAGCATGACTTCAAACAGTACTTACTCATTAGAATTGGTGAAGTCAGTAGTTAAACATTCACATGTTAATGAGTGTGTGGGAAGACATTAAACCATAAAGAAACAAAAACAAAAACAATGTTAACAAACTTAAAAGGCAAGCACATGATGCAAAACCTCGAAAAATAACGAGAAAAAAACCCATAACTCTAGAACCGGTCCATTATACGTGGTCTTTTTTTTTCCCCCAAAATTTTGGCCTAATATTTTTTCCTAGTGTATTTTCAACTTTGCCTTTCATAGCATCCTAATTCTTAATAACTTGTTAATGGCAACTGGATTCTAAAGTCAGCCTTCAAATTTCCAGGCACAACTTCTGTAAAATTTTCTGAAATCATTGGAAGACCAGTTTTGCCTATCAGCTCTCTCTCTCTATTCACAAAAATTTCTGGCAGATAAATCCACAGAGACCTAACAAAAATGGACAAAATGTGATTTACAGAAAGTAATGTGACTTCTGGGATTAAAAAAAAAAAAGCTGCATTTCAGAACAAGAAAACGCAATTATAAATCCACTTTAGTAATTCTTAGTTTGCAGGAATGTCCGAGACGAACTGATTTAACTCAGAGGTCCTTAGAGATAAGAAAACTGAAGCAGAGGGGGTGGCATGATATCATAGAGCCATGTAGACAGGAGATGGCACAAGGATTACCACCAGTCAGCTTGTGCCCCATCCATTGCATGGCAAGACATTGGCACACCTCAGAAGAGGCAGGGGACTGGAATAACTAAGTCCATGTAGGCTTAGCCAAATTAATTTTTCTAAGTGTCTTTTTTTTTTTAATTAGTTTTAATTAGTCAAAATGCCTGCAAGCTCATTAAAATTATTTTAAGGTTTGTTTACATTATTTGATGCAAAAAAAAAAAAAAAAAGTCTTGTTAGGCTGCTTGTGGGCCCTTGTGACCAGTACTTTCCCTTCTCTATGAATGGAATAATACATGGCCCGATGGGCTCAGAAACAGGGGGGACACTTCCTGATCCAGCCAAGTATTCTCCATCCAGGGAAGTCAGTTTCACAGCATTGACACATCTTATCGGACCTAAAATCCATCATAGTATACTGGGTGCCCCAGTTGGATTCTCAAAAACAGCAGCAATTAAGCCTTTCAGAAGACAGCAAAGAGGAGACAGCAGACTCTGCTACTTAAACTATGCGGAGGAAAGCGAGTTTTTACCATGCTGTTTGTAGATGGGTGGTTTTCGGTAAATGTTGATCCCTTGATCTGTGAAAATGAAAAGCAAAGGTGTGTGATTATGGGAACCAGTTCAGTGATGGGAAAAACAAATCAACCAAGGGGCAAACCAAAC